GCTCCAAAACAACAAATCAGTGCAATATGCAAAAATCAGTGCTGATTTAATCCAAGCAGCACCAAAAAAATCTTGATCAAAATGATGCTGAGCTAACAGAATGTGCATGTGCGATGTCTCTGCAACAACAATAAGCGGAATATCATATTTGTTCTTTCTGTGTCAGTCTCTGACTAATTGCGTCCATATCGCCCTCCCCCACACTGTTTTCTTCCATTGAGGTAGAGGCAAAATTAGCTGGGGGCGATATATGTGTATGTCTGATATTCGATTTTAATATGGTATTGGTTCTTACCAATTTTGAGGCGAATTCTCGAAATCTTCCTTCGTTCTTGTAGCGGGGATCTAGTGAACAATTCTGAAATGCAAATTCATTGCATAGCGGTGGCTCTGTGCTATAATGTGACGCTTTTGCATTGAGGTCCATGCTCATAACTGAGCACCGTGTCTCTCTAATAGGTATATATTCTTCTGGACTCTTACTATTAACAGCTGTTGAATTTGACATGGGCAGCAGTATGTAGAGAACTATGACATATGTCCATGGAATCTGCCAGAACTTCCATCTGCATGTTGTAAAATTTTGTACGAAACAGTCATCCTATTTTTTTCTGCAATAACGTTGGAGGAGGCCATAATGCGCACGTTGAATATTTGGAAAATTCAGATGTTCTATGTCAGAGGATGCATAATCTTGCAAGGATAAAGATTCTAATTTAGCATTTGCATCGGGGGATTTCTGACTTTCGACACAGTTCTTGATCAAGACGATGCTGAAATGGGGGAAAATATATCCGGTATGCATCTGGATCTGCAGTTGCTGAAACGAAATATGTAAATCTTTCTGGAGATTTTCCATTGCAGATTGATTTGCCCGAAAACAAGTGTAATTTCACCGGAATATGTTTAATGTAACATAATACTAGAAAAATAAGGCTTGGAATTTTGCTTTTGTAAGTCAGGTTTAATGCCTTCGACGCGGTCGCCACAGCGTCCTTCCGTCAAAATTTATTAGTCTTTCTCAGCGCTTGCAGTAAACCATTAGCCCTCGAAAATAAAAAGATTTCGCAATGATGTGATGTGTATTTACCATTTCGACCAACTGACTTCTAGATGCATGTGCTAAATTCCCCGCGATTAAATGTTCTTTTGTGCAATATCATTGTTTTAAAGCTTTAGTACAGAGCTATTTACTGTCTGTCCAATTAGCGCGAAGTGTTCTCGCTTTAGAGAGTTGGCAAAAACTGAACTTGAGGTGGACCACTGGAGGCACATTTGGATGGAATGTTGTACTCTTCAGCTATCTTGGTTCCTTTAGCTTGATGCCGCAACAGCGTCTTTTTCTTGCATTAAATTGTATATACATCACATGTTTCCGTAATATGCCATAAACGTAGTTCGAATTTAAGAAACATGGAATTTTCCACTTTTTCTTGCTTGCATTTGAAACATCTTTCATGATCACGGGAGTTTTGTGGACAATCATAATTATAATGAATATGGCACTGTGGGTGCTAGAATTCCACGTAGCTCTGTCGAGTGTAAAATTCTCCATAGGCCACCTTAACTACGTCTGTTTCTCTGAAATTAAGACGATACGTATTGGCCTATGCAATGTGCCATGAGCTCTGATAAACGAAGCGATGTTACCCTGATGTTTTCGTTTTGTGTCGTCGCTGCGAACCAGTTTTAAATCGGCTGCTCCCAAATGCCACCATGAATTAACGATGTTGCAGCAAGGCGTTTTGTTTACAACGGTGCGTCTATGTAGAATAGTTAACATTTATACTTACTAACGTTCTTTCAGTACTGTCCTGTGCCTGTTCAATAAATGCACAGTTTTCTCGTTTCGAGTTCATGAAAACGATGAACCTGAAGATAAGTAGGACACCTCTCCAGCTTATTCGACATTCTTTTATTTGCTGCAGCTGGGTTGTTTTTCAATAATGTGGCAGGAGTTGCTTCTCATAACATGTAACCACATAAACGTAAAAATATGTCGTATACCAGAGTTGAATGAATGCGACTTAAAGCTGTTAGAATGAAATTTCGATTTTCGCGTTGCAAGTAGGAATTAGCAGCTGTTGAAACACCGTTCATGACCAGCCGGAAGCTAATTCAGCAAACAAACTGATTTGTGATGCAACTAGCAGAGCGATTGTACAAATACTGTAGAGATCTATCACACTGAAATCTCCTCGCTTACCCCGATATGAAGCCCAGCAAAAAGGCGGCACACTACTACCGATTGGAACAGTCGTTTGATGGAAACAGTTGGTTACCAGCGCTCACTAGACACACTGTATTATTGGACGGAGGTCACTGCGCCAACTGCTTGATTCAGGCAGGCGTATTATATAACAGTTGAAAGCTACCTGAGTGAAGTACGATGCCATTTTCGAATTAATTTATTTCTGATTCGAATTCCATTGCCTGGGCGCAGTCCACCTTGTGACTTTTGCCATTTGCAGTTCATCTACATAAATTGACTGCCTATCAAAGAAATGCTTTGGGCGAGAAAGTTGCAATACCGTTGTCAGATTGTATATATAATTGGTTTTCATTTTATTTTATGATTTGACCGTGGTGACTCGCAAGATCTCCAAATCAACGTGCGGTTATTTAATCGTGAGTCAGAGTTAATTTAATTGCTGATGGTGATTTGCATGAATTGCTTCATCTTATCCCTCACATTGTACACGTATTGAAAGCTCTGCATGATAATACAGAACAAGATTGAACGAAGAATGAACAGTGAAGAAGGGTACAGCACAAAATGACCTACAAGCATGATTGAAAGAAAAAATGAAATGAAGCGCACGTCCAGGAGAA